GACAGGGGAGGGGACACAGGAGGGGAACGAGGGGGGAGACGAGCCGGGGATGAGTCCGGCGGAGGAAAAACAGGGCCGTAGACAGGAAGAGGAGGAGACGGTGGGGGAGGAACCGACGCAGGGTCGGGGGACGGAAGGCCGAGCAGGCGAAGGGCGGACACCGGCGAGGACTGCTGCTGCGGCGGCACAACGGCGACACCTGGACCGCAAGCTGCTCCTCGGCTACCACCAGCACTCTCCACACCCGCACCCCCAGAGGGACCACCCCCAGGGCGACCGGGATAAGCACCCCCAGAGTCAGCGAACGGGTGCTGCGACGGCGGCGGCGGCGGTGGCGGCGGCGGCGGCAGTGACAACGACGGCTGCAGCGGCGGCAGAGGCGGTGGAGGAGGGGACTGGGAAGGGGACGCCAGGGGAGGGGCGGCCGGCGAGGACTGCACAGGAGGGCCACCAGAGTCAGAAGACTCCCCAGCCGGGTCCACCGACGGAAGGGGGGTGACGTGGGACACACCAGAGGGGGCGGGACGGGGAGGAGGAGGAGGAGGGGCAGGGACTACCGGGGAAGGAGTGACCAGGAACAGGGGGGGGGTAACCGGGGGACCACGGTAGGGGAAGCGACGGTAGTAGGAGACGGACTCGTCAAAGGTGACGTCACGAGAGTGAAAGAAGCGGTGCGACGGCGGGTGGTAAAAGTGCCAGTCGGACGCGTCAAGGGGAAAACCGAGGAAGACGCAAAGAAGGGTGCGGGCAGTGAGCTTGTCCGTGCCGGAGGCACGGACGTGAGCAAGGCAGCCCCAGACGTGGAACGCAGACGCGTCACCAGGAGACCCAGTCCAAAGACGGGTCGGCGAAACCTGCGACTGCTGAGGGTGCGGCCACAAGTTAAGCTGGTGAGAAGCGTAGCGCACAGCGAACGGCCACAGAAAATGGGGTGCACCGGCATGGATCATGGAGGTGCGAGCCACCTCCATGACCAAACCGATGCGTCGCTCAGCGACCCCATTCTGCTGTGGGGAGTCCGGTAGGGTGAACGTCTGGGTGATGCCCTCCGCACGACAGAAGCGACCAAGGACACCTGAGGCAAACTCGCCACCACGATCTGAGTGAAGACGCAGGACAGGGAGACCGCGGTGGACACGCGCAGAGACAAGCCAGGGGATGATAGCGCCAGGCGCTCCAGGGGAAAGACTGTGGTGTAACGAGTGAAGTCGTCGACGAGCACAAGGAAGTAGCGCTCTCGACGCGGCCCAGGGACAGGGGCGGGGCCCCAGACGTCCGGGTGCAGGGTCTGCAGCGGCGCGGAGGTAGGGGGAAACGAGGAGGAGTGAGGGGCACGGCGAAGCCGACCCTCGACACAAGGCGTGCAAGGTGGAGCTGGGGAGGAGGGAAACGCGGGGAGAGAACCTGGGAGACCAAGGACAAGACCGTGCTGGGACATGTGACGCAGACGCGGGAGCGCAGGGTGACCTAGGCGGTGGTGCCAGAGGAGCGTCGGGTGAGTGAGGGACCGACAGGAGCAGGCAGCAGCAACCTGAGTAGACGCAGCCACCTGAGGGAGTGCCCCAGCCGGGGGGGTCTCGGTGTCCAGAGTGAACAGGCCAGACACCGGGTCCCGGGGGAACGTGGACAGGGGGGCACCAGTGGCGGCCTCGGTACAGACAGCATACCGCTCGTGACCAGGGAACGTAGTGGTGACGCCAAGGTCCTGGAGGCAGCCGACACCAACTAGGTTCCTGGAGAACGAGGGGATATGCAGACCTGTAAGAGAGCCCGAAGGAACCGCCGGGCAGGGAAGGGTGGTGGAACTGCGGGCGACTACCGGACCGCCGGAGGGGTCAGCAAGAGAAACGGCAGCAGGAACAGGAAGCGGCGTCAGGGTGGTGGAGTCGCGGAAGAAACACCGAGAAGCGCCAGAGTCCAAGGTGAAGGAAAGCGAAGCAGAGGCGGCTGGCGACGGAACGACGGCGGAAGCACCAAGACTACACAAAGCAGAGGATCCTACGCCTGACGTAGCAGGGGAGGCTACTCTAGGCACACCTACACTAGGCAACAGTGAGTAATAAGCTGGAAGCACACTAGAGTCATCAGCATACATCACATGCAGAGCAGAAACAATGGCATCCATGTCCATATCAAAGATCTGAATCTTACGACTAAGCAAACTGTGCCAGTCCGGGAGGTCTGGCGACGGGCCGAAGCGCTGACGAAAGAGGTCGTCCAGGCGACAAAAACAGCGGGGAGTGGAGTGACCGATCTTACCGCAAACGAAGCCGCGGCGAGGACCGGTCTGGATCTGGTACTGATAGCGCCCGCCGCCAGAGCTACCACTCGACACACCACCACGCGCCCGGCCACCGCCAGCGCCAGGCCACCCGGGCGGGAGGACGCTCGGCTGCCGCGTCTGCGACGGCTGCTGCGGCTGCGGCAAAGGCTGCGATTGCGGCGGCTGCTGCGGCTGCTGCAACTGCAGGGGCGGCGGCTCAGCCGGACTGGGCAGGGTCCCCTCGTCTGCTCCAGCACCAGACGACCCGACCCCACCACTACCCCCTCCCGCACCCCCGCCTCCGCCGCGCCCAACCTTGGGGCGGCGGCCCTTCCCCGAACGAGACTACGCTGCAGCAGCGGTCTCAGCCACTACGACAGAGCCGTCGGAGAAGGTACACTGGGCGGGGGCACAACCCTGAAAGATAGGGACCGGCACGACACCGCTCGCCTGGGCGATGGAGCGGTGACGGGTCTCTATCACAGTCAGGGTGTCGACAAAGTCAGCGAGGGTGAGGTCGGCGGGGTGAATGCTAAGGAAGCGGTCGCGGGCGACAGCAAGGCGGTTAGGGAGGCGGGTGGCAAGCAGGTAGAGGGTAGAGGTAATGGGCGGCTGGTGTGCTCTAAGCTGTGCGTCAGTGCAGGCAGCGCGCCAGGTCTCATCTATCGAGCGCAGGTGGGCAGCGAGGTCAAAGACAGTGGGGAAAGACGCAAGGTCAGGAAAGAGCATCGGGAGGATCAGGCGACCCACCGAGGCAGCCGGAGGGGTGGAATAGCGCTGGATGACAGCATCTAAGTATGCCTGAGCAGTGGTGAGAGACCTAAAGCGAGGGCGCTCGGACGGGGGGAGGGCGTTGCTGATGGCAAGCTGGGCGACAGCATCGCGAGAAAGCCAGACAGAGCGCGCACGGGCAGTGGCAGCAGTGGACTCGCGCTCAGTGGGTGTGGGGTCAGCGGGCAGAATAGCAGGGGGGTCTGGGCAGGGAAGCGTACCGTCAAGGTGTGCGGAAAGCGGTTCACCATCCTGCCGCTGGCCAGTGAGTTGGCGGCGGAGGTCGGCAAGCCACGCCTCGAACTCTAGGGGCTGACCTTCAGCGTCGAAGCGAAGCTCCGCCGCCATCAGGAACAGTCCAATGCGGTGCAGGGCAGTGCAGCTAGGTGGGGTGCGGTGCAGTGCGGTACAGTGCGGTGCAGTGCGGTACAGTGCGGTGCAGTGCGGTGCAGTGCGGTGCAGTACGGTGCAGTGCGGTGCAGTGCAGTGCGGTGCAGTGCGGTACAGTGCGGTGCAGTGCGGTGCAGTGCGGTACAGTGCGGTGCAGTGCGGTGCAGTGCGGTGTAGTGCGATGCCAGGGAGTACAGTGTGATGCGAGGCGGCACGGAGCAGGGCGGGGTGGGGGGGAACCGTACCAGTGAGGAGGACGGGGCCGGGGCTGGCCCGACGGGGCCGGGCGGGCGCGACGGGGCCGGGCTGGTGCGACAGGGCCGGGACGGGGCGACGGGGCCGAGCGGGCGCGACGGGGCCGGGCTGGGGCGACGGGGCCGGGCGAGTGCGGCAGGGCCGGGCCGGTGCGACGGGGCCGGGCGAGCGGGACGGCGGCCGGGCGGGTGCGACGGGGCCAGGCGGCTGCGACGGGGCCGGGCAGGGTGCGACGGGGCCGGGCGGGTGCGACGGGGCCGGGCGGCTGCGACGGGGCCGGGCAGGGTGCGACGGGGCCAGGCGGCTGCGACGGGGCCGGGCGGGCGCGACGGGGCCAGGCGGGTGCGACGGCGCCGGGCGGGCGCGACGGGGCCGGGCGGCTGCGACGGGGTCGGGCAGGGGCGACGGGACCGAGGGGGGCACGACGCGGCCCAGGAGGGGCGCTACGGGGCCCAGAAGGGGCACGACGGGGGCCAAGGAGAGGCGCTACAGGGGCCCAGGAGGGGCGCAACGGGGCCCAGGAGGGGCGCTACGAAGCCCAGGAGGGGCGCGACGAGGCCCAGGAGGGGCGCTAAGGGGCCTAGGAGGGGCGCGACGGGGCCTGGGAGGGGCGCGACGGGGCCCAGGAGGGGCGCTACAGGGCCCAGGGAGGGCGCGACGGGGCCCAGGAGGGGCGCTACGGGGCCCAGGAGGGTCGCGACGGGGCCCAGTAGGGGCGCTACGGAGCCCAGGAGGGGCGCGACGGGGCCTGGGAGGGGCGCGACGAGGCCCAGGGGGGGCGCTACGGGGCCCAGGAGGGGCGCTACGGGGCCTGGGAGGAGCGCGACGGGGCCCAGGAGGGGCGCTAGGGGGCCTGGGAGGGGCGCGACGAGGCATGGGAGGGGCGCGACGGGGCCTGGGAGGGGCGCTACGGGGCCCAGGAGGGGCGCTACGAAGCCCAGGAGGGGCGCGACGAGGCCCAGGAGGGGCGCTACGGAGCCCAGGAGGAGCGCTACGAAGCCCAGGAGGGGCGCGACGGGGCCCAGGGAGGACGCGACGGGGCCCAGGAGGGGCGCTACAGGGGCCCAGGAGGGGCGCTACAGGGCCTAGGAGGGGCGCGACGGGGCCTGGGAGGAGCGCGACGGGGCTCAGGAGGGGCGCTAGGGGGCCTGGGAGGGGCGCGACAGGGCCCAGTGAGGGGCGCGACGGGGCTAGGGGGGGTCGCGACTGGGCTAGGGGCTAGAGGGGTGAGCGTAAGCGGTAGGTGGGGGGGGGATCCTACCTACGCATGATACCATATCAGAATTGAAAATTGAATGATGGATAGAGTGAGAGTACACAAAGATATACCTAAGTGTTGTACTCTCTAAGAAGCGACCCTATACAGTCTATACAAACATGACAAATACACATGTTTGATATATGGGTCTTAATAATTACCTCCCTTTAATATGTCCACCCAAACGAATTTCGGTGAATTTCCCAGAAGCCCTAGGGTGATCATGCCGGGAGATTACGGTATGAGTTCCTTTGTTCAGGCCCGGAGTCTCTTGGCGCGTAAGGTAAAGTGCTTGAGAGATGCCCCCAGTCGTAGCGTGTTCTCACTTGACGCAATATCCGGCGTTTCGTTGCAAGTTGCGTCTGAGCCCTGTGCCCCTACATCCTCGAGAGGGGTTCCGGGGAAGGTTTACGCGACTGAACACGCCCCAGTTGCTGATTGCTTTTCAACAAACACATCAAAATCTATCATTTGATCTTTCTCTTCTTCCCACCAGGTGCATCTGTATTACTAGCATCACCCCTCCTCCCGAACCTCCCAGCCCGGCTCTCTTCCTCCCCTTCCTCGTCACTCCCATCCCCATCTCCCTCTCCTCCCCACCTCTCCTCCTCCTCCCTTCTCCTACCCCCCCACTTCCCTCCTCTCCCACCTAATCTAGCCGCAAGTCTTTCCTCCACGGCAGCAGCAGTCCTTGCTGCAGACTGCGCCACGCCTTCCCTCCAGCCCCCTCCTCCTCCAACTCCCCCTTTCCCACCCGCTCCTCCCATGCCTCCAGTGCCCATGGCTTGGTTGTGGGAGACAAAGCGCGCGCCCAGGCCCAGTCTGGGTTGGGGCATCGGAGATTTGGGGGGGGGAAAGGAGAGGTGACGGTGTGAGGGGAGGTGGCAAGGAGCTGCACCACCATTGCATTCACGTTTCGAGCGTACATGAGATGACGGGCTAAGTTGCACTAAACGCGTATGGCGTTTGATACGCTAGCGTATAAACGCTAGCGTATACACGCTATACGCTTTTTTGGGGCCACGTATACGCTAGGTATACGCTTGTCCGGGCAGGCGAAAACTTCTCTCCGGGCAGGGAAAAAAACCGTGTGGCTCCTTAAGCTAAGAATCTTAGTCTGCTGCCTAATTCGGCTGGTAAGTTACGCAATCTGTTTTAGGTTTAGCGCGTTCGGTGGTAGAGGTAGACGGAGCACATTTGACGTTTGGTTGGGTTTGGTAGATGCCTCGGGATGCAGTGTGGTTGGGGGGGGCAGATTGGTTGGAAGTTGGATTTGGGCAAAAAATTGGGGTCTCGACATTTCGCGATAGTGTTGCTGGCTTCCCCATGTCGCGATGTGGCGATCGATTATTTTTTTCCCGACGGGCTGCCCCCGAAATTTCAGCCGAGCGTATAGCGTTTATATGCTCGTATAGCGTATATACGCTATACGCTGCAGATTCTGAGCGTTTAGTGCAACTTAGATGACGGGTGCATGAGAATCAAAGGGCGCATGAGATAAAGAGCACATGAGACGAAGAGTGTGCCTCAAGTTTCGAGTACTCTTCCTAAACGGACCTTATTTCAATCATTCCCAAAGTGCACCCATCATGGGAACCTCCCATTACTTGCCCATTTCTCCTCAAGTCCAGGATGAGCACCTCAAACGCCATCAGCGTGCGTACCTGGGTGGACGTGCCATCGCCTCCAGAGCATCTCCACCAGTCAGCTCTGACTCTCTAAAAGCAGCCCCGTTATAAGCTCCACTTCCTCCAGTAGTAGCTGGTCCCTCTGCACCTTCGTTCGCCTCTGCCCTGTCTTCTGCCATTCGTGCCAGCATGCGCTGGGCCTGAGGTGGGGTGAGGAGGGGAAGGGGCTTGGTATTGAGCAGTCTTAAACCCCTCTGCTCCGTCAGCTGCCATTCGTGCCGGCATGCGCTGGGCCTGAGCCGGGGTGGGGTGTTGGACAGGGAGGGGAAGGTGAACAGAAGCGGCGCCTGAAACCCCTCTGTCTCAAACCCCTCTGGCTTTACAGCTCCCATTTGTGCCAGCATGCGCTGGGCCTGAGACGGGGTGAGGGAAATGGGCAGTTTTAGGAAGGAGGGGGGCCAAGGGGTGAACACACAGGTGCCGTGTCGATAGGTAACGGATAGCGAGTACGATGCAACATCATGCAGGGGCGCTCAGCAAAAACCCCGAAATCCCCGATGCTTGATCCATATCCCCAAACCATTGAACCCCTGAACCCCCCCTGCCCCCGAAACTTTTTAACTCTCAGAACCCTCGAGCCGGTTCAAAGAGGCTCGTACCTCAAAAGGTCATTTCCGACGCGCCTAGCCCCAAAACCCTCAAGTCCGTCCAACCCCTACCCCAGACCGTCGCACCATGGAAAGCGGGAGTTAAGCCGCCTCAAAACTGGCTCCGACACCCCGAGGTCCAACCGCCCCAGGTCCACCCCCCTACCCAGGCCGCCACGGAAAGCGAGTTCTGACACATCTCAAGGCAAGCCCCGAAACCGTCAGGTCCGTCCAAGGTCCGACCCCCACCCCGGACCCTCGCACCATGGAAAGTGCCTCATTCGACAGAACCACTTTAGGCTGCCGCCCGCTTTCCGCCATCCCGCTTCCGATTCCGCTTCCGCTCCCGCTTCCGCCAGCGCTTCCGCCTGTCTTGCCTCCGCCGCTGCTCCCCCCGTCAGCGCCGTGTCTGCTTGCTGCTGAACCTCCGCTACCTGCCGCCTGCGAAGAGAGCGCCAGCCGGAGCCGCTTTAGTGGGACCAGCCGCTCAGCCATGGTCGGCGGCTCTTCCCACGCGATAGCTCTTCCCACGAGAGTCCCCTTGCCCGCGCTACTACTACGGTGCTGCGGATGCTACACGCACCGGCGATGATTGTTCGCCTCGCGATTTGCGGTGCTGTCCACGAATGAGATTATCGATAGCTGAAGCGCTGCGAATGAGATTATCAACTTCTAAGTTAGTACTGAAGTCGGATGGTCGGTAGGAGAGAGTCTCAATTTATATCATCGTTGTCACGTCTCGCAGTCTTGCTCTGCATGTTTCACTACACCTGAACCCCGGCGTGGGTGCGGGACATCGGTAGCGTTACGCCAATTCCGAACCATTACAGGTCATATGCCTTTTCTCCTTGTAAGCAAAGTGTACCCTTCTCAACTGAACAGTAAATAAGACACTCAAATAGGATGATCCAAGACCGTCCAATCATTTTTCTCCTGTGTTTTCAGAGCGACCACGCCTAGTGGTCGACGAGCCTCTAAAAATCCAGATGTGTCAGGCTCGCCAACCAATGTCGAAAAAGAAATCCAAGAGCTCGCTGACGGTCCAGTAGAATTACGACTGCAAAGCCAACGCAATCCGTCGGCGTCGCCCATGGAAAATCCGTCTATCCACAGCCAATAGGAACGCGCCTGCCGAAGGCCGTAAACCGGGTGCCGGAAAAGCCACTGGGTCCCCGGGGCGAAGGTGCCGGTGAAGCCTGGCGGGCGACGCAGGTAGACCTGCTCGTGCAGACTGCCATAGAGAAACTTTGTCGAGAAGTCGAGGGAGTGCAGCTCGTAGTCACGCTACACTGCTACGTATAGCAACGCCCGAAGAGTGGTCATTTTCGGGGTCGGGACGAAGGTCTGGAAGAAGTCAACATCCTCGCGCTAACTGAAGCCTTTAGCTACGTAGCGCACCTTGAAGACTAGCAGCTCTCCAAGAGGGTGCTTCACCTTGAAGAGCCACCGGCCATCGAGTTCGTTCACCCTTGGTAGGGGAACTGCGTAGACGTAGGTGCCGCTGGATCTCCAAGATGCCATCTCCGTGTCCATGGCAGTGTAAGTGTAAGGGGTCCACTAAGAGGCCCAGAGTTCCGAGGTCGCCTCAGTGTAAGTGCGAGGGGTCGCGATGTCAAAGGCGCCTGGGTCCCCCTCAGGGACAAGTAGCATGGAGCAGAAATGAGGCGCGGCCTCGAACAGGAAAGAAAACTCGTACTGCTGGTCCTCCAGAACGTCACTGCCAAGGGCAGGAGCACCCCGACGGACGGAGGACTGACAGGGGGAGAGACCAGAACGGTGGCGTAGTCAAGGCGGCGGGCAGAGGCGAAGTCAGCTACGGCAGTGACAAGAGCGTCAAGACGCGAGACAGGAACATAAGCATCGGTAACGAGGGAGGCAAGAACAGGAATAAGAGGACGAGCGGCAAGAAGGTAGTCAGACAGAGGAGGCGGCGTGACAACAAGCGACGACGGAGGAGGCGACGGGAGGAAGGGAGGACGGGACGCGTGGGAACAATGCAACGTAGGGTGGGAGGACTCAACAGGGGAGGCAAGACGAGCACGCGAGGGACGGCGAGACCAGACGTCAGGCGGAGGCTTCGGGTCAGGAGACAGGGGAGGAGACACGGGAGGAGAACGAGGGGGGAGAGGAGCCGGAGACGAGTCCAGCGGAGGAAAGACAGGGCCGTGGACAGGCAAGAGAGGCAGCAGTGGGGGAGGCACAGGCAGGTGGTCAGGGGAGGGAAGACCGAGGAGGCGAAGGGCGGACACCGGCGGCGACTGAGGCTGCTGCTGCTGCCGCTCCACGCCGACACCAGAACCTCCAGCCGCACCACGGCTACCTCCAGAATACTCCATGCCTAACACTCCCAAAACGAGAACCCTCTCCAGCACCAGTGCCACCCCCGGGACAACCGGGACAAGCCACGACAGTAACCCTAGAACTAGCACCCCCAGAACCAGCACCCCCAGAAGTCGCGGACCCCTCCAGCTGCTGCGGCGGCAACTACTGTTGCTGCTGTGGCGGCGGCGGCGGCGGTGGCGGCGGCAGCGGAGGAGGGGACATCGGGGCAGAGACAGGTGGTGAAACTGAAGCCACAGGGCCTCAAGAGTCAGACGACTCCTCAACCGAGACAAGCGGCGGGAGGGGAGTAACGTGAGACACACCAGACGGGCTAGGACGGGGAGGGAGAAGAGCAGGGGCTACCAGGGAAGTGGGAACCAGGAACAGGGGCAGGGAAACCAGGAGACCTCGGTGGGGAAAGCGGTGGTAGAAGGAGACAGACACGTCAAAAGTGACATCACGCGAGTGAAAGAAGCGGTGAGAAGGCGGGTGGTAGAAGTGCTAGTCAAACGCGTCAAGGAGGAAACCAAGGAAGACACAGGAGAGAGTGCGGGCAGTAAGCTTGTCCGTACCAGAGGCACGAACGTGAGCAAAGCAGCCCAAGACGTGGAACGCAGATGTGTCACCAGGGAACCCGATCCAAGGAAGGGTCTGCGAAACCTGCGGCCGCTGGGAGTGTGGCCACAGGTTAAGCTGGTGAGCAGCGTAGCGAACAGTGAATGGCCACAGAAAACAGGGTGCACCGGCATGGATCATGGAGATAGCCACCTCCATGACCAAACTATGCGTCGCTCAGCGAACCCATTCTGCTGCGGGGAGCCTGTCAAGGTGTACGACCGGGTGATGCCCTTCGCACGACAGAACTGGCCAAGTCGACCGGAGGCGAACTCGCCACCACGATCGGAGTGGAGACGCAGTAGTGGGAGGCCGCGGTGGACCTGCGCAGCTACGAACCACAGGATTAGAACGCCAGGCACGTTGGCCTTCCGCTCTAGGGGAAACACTGTGGTGTAGCGCATGTAGTCGTCGACAAGCACTAGAAAGTAGCACTCTCGATGCGGCCCAGGGACGGGGGCTGGGCCCCAAACGTCCAAGTGCAGGGTCTGGAGTGGCGTAGTTGTAGGGGGGAACGAGGAGGAGTGAGGAGCACGGCGCAGCCATCCCTCGACGCAAGGTGTACACGGCAACGGAGGCCAAGGGGGAAGGGCAGGGAGTGACATAGGGAGACCAAAGACAAGACCGGAATGGGACATGTGACATAGACGCAGGAGTGCGGGGTGACCTAAGAGGTGGTGCCACAGTAGCGACGGGTGGGTGAGCGACTGACAGGAGCAAGCCGCGGTGACCAGGGTCGCCGCAGGCACCTGGAGGGACGCAGTGTCAAGCGTAAACAGGCCTCACACAGGGTCCCGGGAGAACATGGTCAGAGGGGCACCCGTGGCGGTCTCTGTACAGACCGCACACTGCTCGTGTCTGGGGAACGTAGTGGTGACGACGAGTTCCTGAAGACAGCCGAGACCAACTAGGTTCCTAGAGATCGAGGGGATGTGCAGGGCTATAAGAGAGCCCAAGGGGACCGCCGGACAGGGGAGGGTAGTGGAGCTACGGGCATCTACCGAACCTGAGAAGGGGTCAGCAAGCGCTACAGCGGCAGGGGCAGCAAGCAGCGTGAGTGCAACGTGGTCGGGGGCGGCAGAGCGACACGGCGGCACAGCTACATGGGGCTCGGCAGCGCTGCGGCGCGGCGGCTGGCCGGCGGAGCAGGGGCCAGTGGCGCTGGGGGCCGGCGAGGGAGGGGCCTTCTAGCTGGGGGCCGGCGGGGCGCACAGGGATAGCGGGGCGCACGGGGTTAGCGGGGCACTAACGGGGCTAGCGGGGCAAACGGTGCCAGAGGTGCACACTGGGCCAGAGGGGCGCACGGGGCCAGGGGGGCGCACGGGGCTAGTGGGGCCCGACATGGCTAGCGAGGCGCGAACGAGGCCAGCGGGCCGCACGGGGCTGGAGGGGCGGACGGGGCCGGCGGGGCGCATGGGGCTAGTGGGGATCGACGGGGCCAGCGGGGCGCTAACGGGGCCAGCGGGGCGTACGGGGCCGGCGGGGTGCACGGGGCTAGCGGGGCTCGACGGGGCCAGCAGGGCGCTAACGGGGCCAGCGGGGCGAACGGGGCCGGCGAGGCGTACAGGGCCGGCGGGGATTAATGGGCTAGCGGGGCTCGACGGGGCTAGCGGGGCGCGAACTGGGCTAGCGGGGCGTTAAGAGGCCAGCGGGGCGTACGGGGCCAGCAGGGCGCACGGGGCCAGCAGGGCGCTATCGGGGTCAGCGGGGCGCTAAGGAGCCAGCGGGGCTCTAAGGGGCTGGTGGGGCGTACGGGGCCAGCGGGGCGCTAAGGGGCCAGCGTGGCGCTAACGGAGCGGCTAGGACTAGGCCTAAGGCGGAAGCGCGGGTGGGCGGGGGGGGGACCTAACCTAGCGTGATACCATATCAAAGTGAGAATGAATGATTAGAATGATACAAACAAGTTGGTTTTGTCTAAGGGGTTGTACCCTCTAAGAGTACGCACCTATCTAGCCTATAATATAAATACAAAATACCGTATTCCCCCAGATAAAACAACCAGGGGTGTTAGTAAAAACCCATGTAAATTTTCGAGGAGGTATAACATTTTGTATAACGCCTGGGGGCTATGGAATGACACTTCTATGTTTATGCAGTGCAATTTAATCTGTATTGTAGACAGTTCTATTTGTTAGAAAGGAAGAATTATAAGAATGTTAGAGTATAAGAGAATATAGGCTAGTGTTGTACTCTATAAGGCACAAACCTATACAGTCTACAATAACATACTAAGATATGTTTTGACACACCCCCTAGACTGTATAGGGGCAGTGCCTAACAAACTGACAGGCAGCTCAAGGCGGCAGTACTAGTCCAGCCTCTGAGACACAGGTCTAGAGACCAGTCAAACGAGTACAAAACAAGACAAGAGCAAGACCAGGGCAGGACTACTAGTCCAGCCACTGGGAGAGGCCACAAGGCTAGTCAGAGCAAAAAATATATATATATATATATATATATACATATATATATATATATATGTATGTCTGTACACAATCAAGGCCCTAGCAAATGAGAGGCTATGGGAAAAAGACCAAGCTGTACACAGTGCCGCTGATGATCTTTAGGCGCAAGCGCCTTCGTAAAGATATCAGCCGTATTGGCACCGGAGGCCAAGTGTACTACGCGAGCCTGGCGCCGATGCTGTAGCTCGCACATGAGGAAGTACCGTAGCTGGATGTGCTTTGCTCTGCCCTCAAGTCGAGGCTCCTGACATAGGAGGATCATGGCCCTGTTGTCAGCGTACAGGACTGGGG